AACACGAATAACATTTTATGGTGTATTTGCAGTCTCAATAAGGTTCAATCTGTGTCTTGTGTGGCGTTAAAGCCATTTAATTCCAAAACACAATGGATAGGTGGGTCGGAGGGGATAAGGTGAGTTTCCCTTTGCGAATTATGGGCAGAAAATCACTATACGTTACCTCCAGCCATGGCTTCCCTTTCCATCTGATTTCTCTCTCGCTGTTTACGGATTCGTATAAAGCTTTCAGCAGAGACCAGAGCGGAATCTAGGATGTCAAGAGCCGTTCGTTCCACAGCAAAGGACGTCTTGTTATTTTCGTGTGTGTAGTTTGTGATGAAGTAAGTTCTCCCGCCGGGACCGCCGGTCGCCAAGCCCGCCTCTTCAGAAGCTTTCTTTTTGACTTCTTCAGCTTTAAGCATATCCAGGAAGGTAATCACAGTAACTGGATAAATACCTGTTAATTGAAATAAAAGGAATTGCACGGCCTCGTCAACATAGAGCGATTTTCCATTGAGTGTCGAAAGTAATCAGGCAATCACTTCAGTTTTGGTTTTACTACGGTTTGAGATTGGCAGAGTAGTCCAATTGGTAAGTAATTGGTTTGGTTTTGGTTTTACGACACTCAATTAAAAACCACTCTATCTCCTTTTATCATAGACCCGTGCGACCCAGCTGGCATAAGAAAAGTCTGCATACGAGCCAAGTGGCCTTTTAGGCCGGAGCTTATCCCGGTTTCTGTAGCATGAAGCAACTAGGAGTATTTCTACCCCCCACTCCCCTGGATGGGATGTTAGTCAATCGCAGGGCTACCTCCAGCATTAAATTCGCCCGTATTCATCTATACGCCTGGGTGGACAGAGGCACTGTGAGAGTAAAGTTTCTTGCCCAAGAACACAACACGATGTCCCCGACCAGGGCTCGCAAACACTCTGTTGTTTAAATATTTATACATATATAGCTATATTATATTTTTCAAGGTTGTTATTTTCGTTTTTAATCTGCACGTACTTATTTTGAACGAGCTTTGAGCTCACTAGACGATACGTGGGTAAATAAATGATTGATTGATTGAAATAGAAATCACGAGCTCATAATCTAATTGATAATTACCACTGATTTATATCGTTATTACCGTGTGTCCGAAAATGGTCCCTGATATTCTGAAGCGTTCCTCTGTAAATGCCTTCTTCCAATCGAGGATCGTTGGCTTTCAGTACAAGAATCACAGCGTGGATATAATTAGAGAACGCTGCAGTTTTTCTTGCCACTGTGTTCAGCTCCTGGAATTCATCCCCAGCAGACTGTTTCACAGGATCATCATAGTCTCGTTTGATTTCTTCTCCTAGGCGAATTCTTTGATAGAAAAGGATAAAAGAATTTCAATTTTGGCAACCTTGGGGAACAAGTAAGAGATCAGCGTTTAACATCGGTTGGCTGTGGCCCGAGTCTGCAACTCTTCATTCGGATTGAATAAGACCCCCTAAAAGAGACCAATCGGGTCGTACGGCTCGAGCTTTGTTTGACCTCTAAAAGATACCACTTTGAATTGGACAGACATCGTGATTTCATTATTTTTTCGATCGAGTGCAACGCCAAAAGATACCTTGACAGCTAATAATAGTGATGAGAGACTAAAATCCGTGGTTACACCCCTAGGGAAGAAGACAAGCATCTCCGCCCTTTTCACATAGGAGTCTTCTTCGTAGGCCGGAGACCGTGTTGCGCATCTTGTCATGAAATTAAAATACTTGACTAAGAAAGTCATATTTGTTCTAAAAGCAACTTGAAACATGTCGGGGATACCTTTGCACGAACTTAACATAAATTAGGGTCTCAGTGGGCGTCAACCGTCAATCTTGTAACAGCCTAAAAATTAACTGTTAGCCCGCGAACAGACTCACGTTGGAGAACAAGCGCGCGAGGCGTAGCACAAAATCGCGCGGCGAAGCCGCGAGACGAGAAAGAGGCACCTCTTCACCAGACTCCCTTCGCCGGATCGCTTTGCTCTTCATTACTCGCAGGCTAATTAACTGTCAAATAGGATAACCGTCAACCGTCAAATAAAAATCGAAAACTTTTTACCGTCGACCAAAATTTTAAAGGTCAACCGTCAAAAAGCCATATTTTGTTTAGCCGTCAACCGTCGAGGGTAACCCTCTCGTTGAGATCCTGTTAGGCCGTGATCCACACGCGATTGTCCCATTCTAATGCAAGTGACGCCTGAAAAGTAATCCATTACCTTCCCGTCATAATATCAAGCACCTCATCTTGAAGCTTTTCATCTCTCGCAAAAAATCCTCTGGTGTGGACAATCCGGATATTATTCTGCACGAAGTATTCTTCAAGAATAATATTGCCTTCTTTTCCTGTTCCTTGCTCAAAGGCGGTCTGATTCTCTCCAATAGCTCGCTGCAGCGTGCCTGGTTGAGCCAAAGAGAGTTGTGATTCAATTTATATAGACATTGGAGAGACAAATAATGCACCGTTGCTTCACTGACTGACAAACTGAAAGACCAGATTGTGTTCTTTTAACTTTCAAAAATTAATTTATAGAATGTGAAGGTCTCATTTTCATTGGGAGGACCTTGTTCTCTTTCCCTCCATTCTACTGCAGTCCACTCATATAAACTATATCATAATTTAATGACTCTTGCCATGTCTAAACCAGTTCATAAACTCTATCATATATTCATCACCTGCTGTAAAAAAACCTGTAAGCCTCAGGAGCCATGCTATTCAAACACAGAGTGTTTTGCAATCAGCCGATGGGTACAAAGAACTCTTTTGAAAACAAATAAATAAATAAAATGATAAAGAAAAAATAAAAATAAAAACAACCGCTCTTACCCACAAGGCTTGTTTTCCCAGAGCCTGTTGGTCCAATCAAAGCAATGCGTATCAAATCAATGTCGTCTACCTCCAAATTCTGAAAAGCTTCTTTCTTGATTCTGGGGCACTTATGAAAATCGTAATTCAACAAGTCAAGTCTAAGTTGTAGTAGCCTTTGTTCTTCTCTTTGTTTTCTTTCTGTTTTCTCCCTCTCACGTCTTTGACGATCCAACTGTTCTCTCTGTTCTTCGTGTTCAATTATCGCGCGTTCTTGTTCGTCATGCAACGCCTGTTGATGCTCTCTCTCCATCTCGTCACGCAACTCTCTCAATCTTCTTTCAGTCTCTTCTTGGGCATTCCGTCGACCTTGCTCTTGGGCAGAATAACTCTTCAAAAACAAATAAACGATTTAAAGGAAAACAAACAAACAAACAAACAAACAAACAAAAAACAACCAAACATGTTTCGGTAATGATTTTATTTCTAAATTTCTTTTTTTTTTAATTAAAAATGCAATAACAAGAGGATTCTCGGTACTTTCCCACAAAGAAGAGTCTTCCAATGTCCGGTGCCCGATGTTCGCTATTAATAATTTTTCATTATTGAAACGTCCCGGCCATGGCCCTCATCGCGTGACCTTTATTTACATTTTAATGACTGAGGATTTTGTTTAAAATATCGAACTATAAAAAGCATTTCTATTACCATTTTTACCTGAAAATAGCAAATTACTCATGGTGACTTTTTGGCAGTGCCTAGTTTCGACAATCAGAAGTATTTACCAGAGCTCAAAATAAATTGTTGAAATCCAACTGATCGAGAAAAAGGCGCAAACAAGATAACCGGTTCCGGGAATTCATTTTAACTCGGACCTCCTTTACCCGGAAAAGTAGAACAAGCAAATTTTAGTCTTGGTTCGTTTACTTCGCTTCTTTAATGTCTTCCTGTTTCTCTTTATATTCTTCCACATCTTGCAGAATAGAGTGGGTGAAATAACAAGGGTTATTTCTCATTGCCGAGGATGGTTAAATTGGTTCCCCTTCTCTAATCTTTCAATGCGTAAACAAACCATCAACGGTAAGGGTAAGGTACGATTTCACGAGTAAAAGCCATCTTTGAA